TGCACCAGCACATACTATATATTTCTCATGTTATGTTGCGTACATGTATATCTCGGGGCGTCCGTCACACTTCACAAGCGAAGAGCAACATCGCATTCACCATTTTTTATCATTACCACCCTAACCTCACTTTTTTCTACTCCATCGGATCGTTCCCCCGCCACCGATAACATTTTTTTGGCGATCTGTTACTTTTTCTCTAATAGCACAGCCATTCGCGCGCTCGTTATTGCTCTTTTTAATTTTTACGTTTTCTCCGTGTATGGTCGATGGTTATGCCGATGGTTACGTTTTTATCGTTACGTTTAGACTGTTTTTTGGCAGCCAGCGCCGATGGCGTGAAGACGATCGAAAAGAATTTCAACGAAAACAGACGTTTCCTTTATTATAAGGAATACGAAAATAAAGGATGTCGAGAGGAAAACGATCGTCTTCATCGTCGCGATTCATTCGACTGGATTATTATTGTTACTGCTACAGTTCTGTTTGCGCGTTCGACATCGAAACGGCGAGCAACCATTTATTATTTCTCTGCGTTTCTCTTCTTTTACTTTTCTCTCCTTTCAGTTCGATTTTTTTGGTGCATGCCACATGTATCGAAAATGCCAGAGATAGAAAATGATTACTTGTACTGTTAAGGATTGCGTGAATGAATTATATAAAAACCCTGTCTGCGTTTGTAATTATAATTTGTACAGACTGGAGAATGTTTCAAGTGCACACACGATGCGTTCTGCACACACGTTTTCTTGTATACCATACCTTTAATTATATATATCGCTATGAACGTCACTAGATTTGCGAGGGACTTGCGAGAGTTTCTTCTCATTCTGCGCGTCTGACTTGTTTTTTTAATTACATTTCCATGCATCTCAATCATTTACTGAAGAGCCGTGATCATGAGGAATTTTCGAAAGTAAAATTCCTACTTTACCACCGAGTAGTGCGAAATTGAATAATTAGAGACGATGAAGAAAGTGTTGAATTTTCATGGTGATAATGATGATGATCACGGCTCTAAGTGAGGCGGCTTTCATCTGCCTAGCTGTAGAATTTAGATTACGATGAAGAATTGAGAGAGTTTACAACGAATTTTATTTGGAACGCAGATGAAATTGCACGAGGCTCAAATGAAACTCAAGGCTGGCGCTACGAAGGCTGGCACCGATTCTACTCAAGAGAGAAGACAATTGGAGGAACAGAGACGACAACTGGAGGAACAGAGGCGACATACGGAAGAACGAGCGAAGGCCGTAGATCAGAAAGCTAGAACGATGGAGGAGAAGGAGAGGACGCTCCAAAGTCTCGACCAGGACCTCAAGAAACGGAAAGCGAAGATGGACCAGCTGGAGCAGCAGTTAGATAGGGTAAAATTCGAGGAATTTGTCATCATTTGTCATTAGGTTATCCTGAAAGTTTCCGCGGTTTTAAGCTGTTCATTTTGAGGAAAAAACATAGCTCCATTGAAATTAAACATTTTTATTTAAAGTAATATCCCTAATGTTCGACATACTTTTGCCAACGTATTACAAGAGTATTTGGTTTATTCCGGGTATGAGCCATTTCACGTGAAATCGCGCAGAATTGCGGTCGTAATCACCGATTTTTTTCAAACTCGCAGGATTCGTTGATAGCCTTAGGAAACTAAACTATGCAAAAATTTTGGGCAAAATTTTAGAATTACCTATTAAAATTGCTGTTGTTCTATAATTTGTTAACTGTTTAATTAATAATTGGTTAATTGTGACTGTTGTTTTTATATAGAGCGGTGGGTCGCCAGACAAAAGGTTGGCGGAAATACAGAAGACTCTCGAGAACACGGAAAAGGAGCTGGAAAAAGCGAAAGAGGAGTCGACCAGAAACGCAGCCGAGACAGAGAGGCTACTGCAGGTAATGCAGATGACTCAGGAAGAGCAGAACGCCAAGGAGAGACAAATCAGAGAACTTCAAGAGTGAGTATTTTATAATCGAGGAGTTGAAATGGTAAACGATGAAAGTGGCAGAAATGTAAACGAAAAATATGTGTTTATTCATTTTTGGCACTTACATCGTTTGTCACTTGAACGCTATACAATGTCAGCGTTTATCACTTGAACGCTATAAACTGTCAGCGTTTATCGCTATTATAGATTTAGAGGGAAGCCAAATGGTAAAAAGTGTATTACACACTCTACCTATGATATACTATTTTTGGTACTTACATCATTTGCCATTTCAACTGCTCGATTAGGAAATTGGAAAAAAATCGTTCAGCTAGAAGTTCCTTAATTTTTTTATGATATACTAATAATGTAATTACTTTGTACAGTGCACTCAAAGCCGCACAAGCCAAGTTGAAACAAGCCGCAACTGCACAGCAACAAGAGGTCAGTGTGCAACTCTATTTTGTTACAATTTTCCTTTCTGAAAGAATTACATACACTCCCGTTCATAAGTATTCGGACACATATTTTATGTGAAGCAAGCTTAAACGCTAGCCTGTCATGGCCGCCTCCTTAGCGTCACGCGGTTTCCATGACGACGAATGCACGCTGCGTGAAAGACTTCCAAACCTGATTTTCTCAAAAACTAAGCCTTGAATGAAAAAGTTTGATTCTACATTTTTTATTTATTTTTACATAAGGAATCACCTCCTGCCAGCTTGTACAACATTTTCGGTTGCGAAAACAAATATACTTTATCCTCTTCTACTTTTCCGAACACCCTGTGTATTTTTACTGATATATGATACTATCTTTGTCGAAGAAATGCAATTTAAATCATATAATACTTTTTGTAACTACATAACAGGTGTCTTAATACTTATGAACGACGGTGTATGTGTTTTAATTGAATAATAAAATTGAATTAGTGTGTCATCCTAGACACACAGTATTTCCAAGAGATATTCTATGTATAGTTATAGTTTTCTTACACGATCCTAAACCTTGCTTAGAAATGAATATCGATGGAAACGCGACTAACCACATGTCTTTTTGAATTTTCACGCTGACCCTGGACACGACACGTATAACATGTGTGTTTGCTTGCTTGATTGTTATATATTTGCTTCTTTTCTGTACACGTTCGTGCGAATATGGTGGTCCGTATACGTGCTCGATCGTTTCCACGTTAAACGACATGCGTTTCCGAATGTTTAAACGACGAAAAACAATCCCTCGAAATCGATGAAAAAAAAAAAAACAAAACCGAAAATATTAAAAAATCCAACAGGCGGGTCCCGCCGGATTCCTAAAAAGCTTGTTCTAAGGTCGATTTTCGTTGGGGACGCCTTCTCCGTTCTTTTTAGTACAATTTGCATATTAAGCGAACTTTACAAGTACACACGAACTTATTAAAAATACGAGAACGAAAAATAAGCAAAAAAATGAAAAAAGAGAAAAACAAGAAACAGAGAGGATCGTGATTCGCGATTCTCCGCTATTCTGACAACACACACATTTTGTCGAGATATAATAATAATAATTATTTTACGTAACGCTGCGACCATTGTTAACGTATTTAATAATTGAAAATAGCGGGAAGATGTTGACGAAAATAACAATAATTATTGATATATATATATATAAATATAAATATTAATGTAAAGGAGATGAGAGGGAGAGAGAGAGCGAGAGAGAGAAAGAGAAAACGAACGACAACGGCAACAATAATATAATTATTTAATTTTAAATTTATTCAAACAAAAAAAAACAAGTAAATAAGCGATCGTGTCGTGTATGTACATATATATATACGTGTAATAATGAGTTATATGTATATACATATACATACGCCAGGGAGAATTTTGAAGGGCAGACGCATGTGTTGTACATGTGTATATAATACGTATACACGACAGAGATATATATATATACGTGTATATGTAGATATAAATATATATATATACATAAACAAAAAAAAAAAAATGAAAGAAAGAAAGCATTGTGGTGAATGATGAATGGAGGCAGAGAAGAACGTCGAGAGCATAAGAGGAGAGAGGAGACGAGAAAGTTAGACTTTCCACACGTCGTCATGCCAGGAGAGACGATGGCTTCGACGAAAGCACGTGAAAAAGATATACAAAAGATTAACAAAAAAAAAAAAAAAATGAAAGGAGACAAAGAGTATCGAGAAAGTAAGAAGGAACGAGGGAGAGACTACGAGAGAATCGAAAGTCACGTTCGCAGCCATTCGGAGACGCACCCTTACGTCGTTCAACGTGAAACCACTCGATGTACACGGGCCAGAATCACTGTGTTACCCCCTACCCACTGTCCACCTTCTTTGTTTTTTTCTTTTTCGTTCACATTTTCTGTTACGTTCACACCTGTCGCCTCTACACACGCACCGCGACGTCCACGCGCACCGATGCACGCACACAGCGGTCGGAAAACACCGGAAGCGTCCTCCAGAACGCGAGAGAGCACGAGGAGACCAGGAAGATCGAGCTGGAGACGAAAGACAGAAGGATCACCGAGCTGGAATTAAAGGCGTCCTCCTTGGAAAGACTACTGAAGGAGTCTGTCTGTTCTAAAAAGATGAAGGACGCGAAGAACGTCAGTTTGGAGGAGGAAGATTTGAAGAAGGAGCTAGAATCGAAGAATCGAAGAATCGCGGAACTGGAGGACCAACTGGTAGCCTGTAAGAGTGTGAAGAATACCAACAACGAATGTACCCAAAGTTTGAAACTAACGGATGAACTGAAAGGGGAGAAAGAGACATGGAGGAACGAGATGGAGGTGAAGAATAAACGTATAGAACAACTGGAGGACGAGATAGAGACCCTGAAGGGTTTGATGACGGAGTCCAAAAAGTGTAAAGACAACGAAACTAGAGTACAAGATAATAACGAGACCTGGAAAGTAGAGCTTGAAGGGAAGAATAGGAGAATCGTCGAGTTGGAGCAGGAAATGGAGTCCCTGGAGAATTTTCTTCGAGAACACACGGATACTGTAAGCGTAAGAGAGTTAGAAATGGTGATCGAAAGAAAGACTAGGAGGATAGAGGAACTGGAAGATACTGTGGCTGAGTTTGAGGATTTTCTGAAGCAGAATCCTGACGTGAAAGAGCTGCACGATCTTCGTTGCCAGGTGACAGCTGGAAATAGACGGATTCAAGAGTTAGAGAGGTGGATCCAGAAGAATGGTGAAAATCGAGAGTCTAGAATCGATCAGGAGAGAATCATAGAGCTTGAAGAAATGGTTACGCAATTGGAACAGTATGTGAGAGAACATAACGTGGATATTTTAAAGAGGAAGCTGCAGGATCGTGAGTGCAGGATCGATCAGCTGCAGAATCGAGTAGGGTACTTAGAAAAGGAGCTACTGAAGATTGAAGAAACCCATCGAGGTAAGATTATTTTGGATTCCCGGTCCTAATAATCCTCACTATCAATTTTTTGTCTTCTGTTAAATTGGTACAAATGAAATGCCGTTTTTTCAACAACTGAAACTAATGGGTCGATGGCACATATTAAATTTTGTCTGATAATATATTTTTATATACAATAGTCAAGAAGAGGGAATTTACTTGACTATTTAAAATTTACAATACTATTGTTTGGACATTATTGTCTGACACGATGAATAATCGAAATATTCGCCTAATTTTTTTTCATATAACTTTAAACTTGAAAAAACTGCTGAAAATATAAATTTAGCATTTGAAGAAGGTTGTGTAAATATTAAGACATTCCAACGTTAGTGTACAAAATTCAAGATTGACAACTTTTTATTGGAAAATGAGCCAAGAGGAAGGCCAAATAAGTTCGTCGATGATAACGCTTTAAGAAAAATTATTGAAAACAATCCAACAGACTACCATTTCTTTAAACACCTGAACAATTTTTTAACAAACAAATTATTTTGAAATGAAAGCACTGTAAAAGCAAAATCTAATCATTTTTATAAATTTGGAATAATGAAACTGCTTGATCTGTGGGAATAGTGTATAGAATTGTATGAAAATTATTTAGATTAAATACATTATTTTTTGAAAAAACACAATGTATCTAAAGTTTCGTTAAAAAAAACTACGTTTCACATACACCAACGTAATATGTTAAATTGAAAAATAAATTAGCGATAACAATGATCATTAGCCAAGTTTAAATTTTACAGCAAAAGAACAGCACAAAGATTGTCGGGAGAAAGGTACAATAACAAAAATGGAGGATTTCTCGTGCAACCATGTGACAGAGGGAAATTCAGAATTGCGTGAAAGGGAGCAGAGGATGAAGAAAATGGAGCACGCGATATCTGAGAAGGACAATAAGATCCAAGAGTATGAACAAGAGATAATGGGAAGTAAGGATGAAATAACGAAGCTGAGGAAAGAGATAGTTGCCTTGAAGAAGGAACTCAGCGAATACGACGACATTGGAGTGCTGAAAGAGGAAATACGAGTAAGGGACGAGAGGATCCAGCAATTAGAGGATGAAGTGGACTCTCTCGAGAGGGCTTTCAGTGAGAGAATCGATCTGGAACAGATCGAGGAATTGGTGAATGTAATTAAAGAGAAGGAAGACAAGGAGATACAGTTTTCAAAGGATCTGATGGAGAAGAGGAACAAAATTGAGGAGCTCAGTGAAGCTCTTCGAGAGAGTGTTGTTATTACCAGTAACTGTGAAAGGAAAATGATAAGTGAGGAGAGGATGAAGAAGGAGGCTCTTCAAAGGGTAAATAGTGGCCATTTTTTTTATTGCAATATTTCGAAGGAAAGAAACGTGGTTATATTCTCTTTTTATTCTCGATTTTAGATAGCTAAGTTGGAACAGAGGATTGCATCAATACAAACAGCTTCTGCCTTGAAATGTATCACCTGTCAACCTCTTCTTTCTAAGCTGCAGAAATACGAGATGAAACTCGAACGTCTCGCTGAAGAGAGAACCATGCAACTGGAAGATCTCCGTCAAATGAAGTAAATCATTAAAGAAAGAGAAACTGATATGTGACGATTTCATTCCTTTGTTGTATTAATATTGCACTTGTTAACAGACGAGAAGCTCTGAAAGCTGCAGTGTCCGAGAAAGACGCACACCTGGCTCTGCTGGAGCTTTCTGGGATAAAAACTGTCGCACAGTCCGAGCAAGCAGATCAGCTGAAAGCAGACAGGAAGAGGCTACTGGACATGCTAAAGAAAGAGGTGATTCAGTCATTTGAGAAAGAATTTGATCGCTCGATGTGAAAGAGAGAGAGAGAGTTTCGTGGCAAGATGAAAAATTCTGTTGCAGGATGAGAAAAGCATCGAATTATCAGTGGAATCCAGTCCATCTAGTTCAGAAGGAACACCACATCTACTCACGAAGCTTTTGGAAACGTCCGACGACGACGACAACGACGAAGATACTCTAAACGATCGTCGCAGCGAATCTAGTTCACCGCGACCGGCTACGACGAATGGCGACAGCTGTGCTCACGTGTAAGTTTCTTCATCGTTCATTTGTTAACCGGCGCGATCCTATGTCCGGGTCACTAGAGACCCGCTAGCTTTAGAGCGACGACGCACACATTTATAGAACTTTCTACGGTTTCTGTGATCGTGACGACGATCGTCTCGGCAACGGATCTTCGATTAGGATAGTATTATTCGTTACTGCTTCCAGAAAAAAGGGTATGCGGCGAATGAAAAATTGACAGCATACGTTCAAAAATATTTTCTCTGTCTTTTTTCAAACTTTCACATTCTCGAGGTTTACATCTTTCTACATTGAAAGAAAGAAAGAGATAACGAAAGAAATATAAAACTATTTATTTATAAATAATTGATCAAATACTTATCGTTACATTTCTCGACTGTGTCTACACTCAGAAAAGTTAAACGTATAATGCAAAGTAGATCGGATAAACGAAGGCAAGAAAAATTCGAGCCTGCGCGATTTATGCATCGGTGAGAAATCCGTGCGGGTCAGAAAAGACCCGGGCACCGGATTCTACCGTCCGTACTTCGAGGGTTTAATGGAAACACTACGAAAGAATTCACCGAAAAAAATTATGCCTTTTTCTTCGCCTTAGAAAGAAGACGTCGAAGGGACCGGAAGCGAGAAGCAATCGAGAGCAACCGTGCAAGAGTCATCATCAGCAGGATAGCAGATAAGTAAACCAGGCCACGTAACGATGTAGAAAACGAACAAAAACAAAAAAAAAACAAATCGGTCTCTTCGTTTCTTCGATGTTGTCACGTGCACACACACGCAACCGTAGAAGCAATCTAGAGCATTTCTAGAGCCTTAGAGAGAGAAAAAGCAAAACAAAAAAATACCGTCGACACACAGGCAACCGAGATACCTCATCGACTTCGACTGCCACAATACGGCTACATTCTATCATCCTTCGCCATTTCATCATCATCACAATCATCATCATCATCACCATCATCATCATCATCGTCGTTCATGCATCACTCTCATCATCCACGACAATTCCTTGCGACTATTACGAGGAATCAACCAAGGAGGATCGTTCAGTGAGGCAAATTGATAACCTCGTTCATGGAGATAGAAAAAATTTTCGCCTGGAGTATACACGAGAGAATCGATCAACAGGATTATTTCGATCGATCGATCGATCGATTACGCAGCGTTGACAAGTGGAACGCGTGTGTTCGTAGTTGAAGTGCAGAAATATATTATGCTTCACGAAACTCGACGAAGTTTTCCGTAGGAGCGACACGATTCAATGACTAAAGACGAGAGAAACAGGGCGTCGATGGACGATCGATTTACACTTGTTACATGATAGAATCTAGGTAGTTTTTTCTGTAGACCAGTTGGTTGCATGTCTCAGAATCATCCGGGGATGCTCTGTTTCTTGTTACACGCAATTGTACCATTTGATCGGTGAAATTTTCATAGTTATCGCGTCGAGTTTCGTACCGACGTAGATTTTTACCATTGTTAACCCATTAAAGATGAAAGAAAGGTGTTAAGAGAGGATGAACACGACGTAAGGGTAGCAGTTCGTTCTTCGTCCTTCGAAAATAGGTGACAGATTATTCAAACACAAAGAACCGTTCCTTTCGACCAGTATTATACCAATATTAACATTTAACGAATTCGAATAACAAGGAACGACTCCGAAATTGTTGTAAAAGTCACCTGTCGTACTCCCCCATCGTCCAAGTTACTCGATATACAAAATATCAGGAAAATAAAAGAGCAACAGTCGGAAGGAGAGGATTTATCCTTTCCTTTTCTCTTTTTGGATTTCTCGTCACGGGTCCAAAGATCGTCGTCGTATAACGGAGTGCTAGAACTCCAGTTGAAGGGAACCGAAGAAAAAGAGAAAGAAAAGAAAAACATAGAGAAACGAAGTAAAATTAAAAAGAAGAGAAAGTGAGGAGGAACGAAGGTGTTAGTTAGATCATTAGGAACAGGAGATGTAACACGTAGCACGAGGGATATCCTGTAAACTGCCGTCGGAGCAATGGCGTGCACGAGTGGGCAAAAAATAAATGGGAATGGTGCTGATTAGCTTTCAAGATGACAATAAAACGAACGTTTCGTGCATGCTCGATGATCTTGCGATGCGAAAACGAAGCATTTTGACGCACGAAAAAAACGCATTTCTCTCTCCCATCGAAGGACTCGTGAAATCCGTTGTTTCTATAATATAGAATAAAGAAAGAAAGAAAAAAAAAAAACAAAAAAGATGTTGCTTGTGGTTGATCGAGGAGAATTTTCCTCTTAAGTACGTGAAATCGAAACGAAAACGTAATTTTCTTCGACACGAGAGAAAGGGTGTATGCGCGTGTGTATCGTTGCAAAAAGTGTGTCATGTGTAAATATTATAAACGGTGAAATATGTTACGAACGTATACACAGTTGTAGAGTATTATTATATTATAGATACGTGATTTGATATGTTTAGCCGAGCTACGAATTATGAAAGTGTCTATAGAAAAAAAAATTGTTAACGCATGTGAACACAACTTCCATATAGTTTCTCAGCCCACATTATTACACATAGTACATGTTGGTTTACGTTGACAACCGATTGCAGATATTTACGGACGTTGTTGGAAACGATATTTGTTGAACATTGTTACGAGATCTTTACACGACTGTAAATAATTCACACATAGATATACGTGTATCTATAGATAGAGGAAGATATGATGTACCCATTCATGTTTCAATTTGGAGAATCTGACTTCCTCCACTCTTTATGTATTACATTCGACGTCCATTTTAGATATTGTTGCAACTCCCTTGTTCTTTTCGATCGAGAAATATTCCCTCTTTTTAAAAGTAATCATCTCCCCTTCGGAGGAATAGCCTACACGGAAAAAGAAAAGTTGCACCGATATCTAATCGAGCTTGAAATAAAAAAAAAAAGAAGCCTAACGATGGGATGATTGAACCGTGGACGTGTGAATTTTCACACTCGAATCTTCCATCGAGAAAAAATTTGTTGAACCAGTTTATCCAGTTTACCAGTTATCGCTACTAGTTCCGAAATAATCCTAAAAACCGAGCGGAATATCGTGGCGAAATTCACGATGCAATTATTCGTCAAGCGTTTTCTTCGTGCGTCGTTGACAAAAAACAGAATAAAAAAAAAAAGTATGCATCCAGGACATTGGCAACAACGATCGTCCTAGAAGAGAGGGGACAAATTGACCCGGAAGTCTGAAGAAGGGACATCATCGATGATAATGTCATACACAGAGCCCTTCGTGAATTAAGACGGTCAAGTTTATGATGATTATCGTAACATCGACGGGGGAAAACGGTGGACTGAAACGAAAATTGTTATGATAATCGTCAGTATCGCTTTTGCAGGATCTGTTCTCGAGAAAGAGAGAGAGAGAGAGAAAGAGGGAGAGAGAGGGAGTATTTTTTCTCAGCGTGCAATGAACATTTTGGGACAGCAGGGATCAGGAAAATATTGAAAGAAAGAATTCAATTCGAGGCACTAAAGAAAAGATAAACAGAAAAACAGAACAGAATCGTTTGTACATAGTCATGTGTCGATGTTTCTTCGATAGCCCTGCTAACAATGGCGAAAGAGAAACGCCCACCTGTGGTCCCCGCTGATTCTGTACCCATTCCCAAGCATACAGCTAGTCTATAGATACCTGTATTACGTGTATACATAGATAATATCTTGCTAAAAACGAATTTGTCGAGCATTTAAACGCAGTCTAACCTAAACGAAACCAGCTAGGCGCCAGTGCATGATTGTAACGTATACCGGACCGGGGAAGAAGTAGAGCACGTGCAACGAAACCGTGTGAACCGGAAGACACATCTTGTAGCTTATCGATAGAAGAGATAAAGATAAAAAAAAAAAACGAAAGAAAAGTTTCGCTGCGAACGTGCGATTCTTTCTTCGAAAGTCGAGTAATCCCAGGCCGCC